CAACAAGCAAGGATGACTGGTTAAGCATGTATTGTCTAAACATCATGTGAAAGGCACAATATATCTAAGCAATGAAGTATATATTGTCTAAACAACATGTGAAAGGCACAATAGATCAAAACAAGTCATTAATCCTTTCATTAAGCTCACAATCCAAATACAACACAAGGTTAGAGACATATGCTACTTGCATTCAAAAGCTTGGATCATCAAACAAAAAGCATAGATTGTCCTCCCATTTAATATTACACTACAACTACACTACATCTACACTACTAGCATGAAAATAAACTAGGGGAGAGGCATAATCCATCAAGGCATAAGCATGAACCATCAAGAGAATCACAAGAGCATTCCTTTAAGCACTATGTTTTGATAATCTCTAAATCTATAGCATCAATACACATAGACATGCATCAATAACACAAAATCTAGAGACAAGCACATGAACATCTATTCTAGCATACATAGACATATGGATAGAATAAAATGACCAATTGGAAGCATTAAACCACATAAATCATTGAATAAACAAGATCTATATATATCAAAGTGTCAGAACATCAATTACAACACTAATCCCTCAATAATACACAAGATTAAAATATAGAAAACATGATTGGGGCTAACTCTAGCCCCAAGAGGATGTCTAGCCACTCATGGTGATGATGCTCCAACCCTCAAGGGCTAATTCCATGGTTGAAATCTGCTCCTTGTTGATGAAGAACTCCAATGGTGTCTCTAGCCTCCTCCTCCTCTCCAAGAGATAATATAAAAATAATGTTGGCTCCCCTTGTAAAAGCAATCCTTATCCTTATATAGGTAGGTCAAAATGACACCCAAAATGAGCTGGGGTCGTGCACACAATATTTCCTAATGATTGGATAAAGGGCAACTTTCAATGAGATGGAATTTTAACTTTTTCGCACTGGAGAAAATTCGATCGATCGAACCTTAAACTTGGATTGATCGAAAGTAAGTAAGATCGATTGAACTTAGGCTGGATCGATCCAACTGGCTGAGCTTTTTGGAAAAAGACAAATCCGAGATATTTATAGGAGATATTTATGGGAAAAGGACAAAAGTAGTTAGTAGGTAGTACAGCTGTGGATAGGATCAATCATTTGAATAAGGACAAAAGTGTTCGATCGATCGAACGATGGTGTTGGATTGATCGAACTTTTGGAACTCTATGCTTTTGGGTCAAGGCTTTGATCTATCTTGAAGTGCTGAGATCGATTATTGTTCGATCGATCGAACCTTGAATTTGGATCGATCGAACTTTGTTGCTTCCCACATTTGGCTTCATTTGCTTCCTTCTTTCTCCACTTTGCTCATTTCTTTGTTTAATCCCATAATTGTTTCAATTAAGCTCTTATTTGGTTGAGTTAGCTTATTTTCGGGATAAGTGCCTGAAAATGGAAATAATACGAAGTCAATCTAAAACGATAAAGTAAGATAGATAAAAATACTAGAATGCCTAAGCTTAAGGGGTTTAAATATGCACTTTTCAGTGCTCATCAATATATATATATATAAACACGCACATCACTTTGCATCTTTGTAAGAACTCTTCAGATAAAATATTATGTCTTTGATCATTAATATACATCAATTACTTTTTGATATGCATTTGTTAATTGGTATAATGATCAAAGTGAATGATCTATTTTACTCCTCCTAGGGAAAAAAATTAAGGAGAGGAATTTTTTTTTAAAAAAAATCGAAGTATTGAAAAATTGTAAAAAAAATATTGTAATTTTTGTTGAAGATTTTGTACGAATTACATTCTTATATTTGAGTTCCATGAAACTTGATGTGAAAAAAAGAAAAGAAAAAAAAAGAATAAGATATACAACCATAAATGAAAAACTAAAAAGATGAAAAACATTATGAAAAATTGAAAAATAAGGAACGGAAAAGATATGTATTTTATGGAAACAAACAAGAGTACTAATGATACTTATTTAAGTTGAAATTTTAGAATAATCAAGTCATATTTTATTTCTGTCGGTTTTAAATCTTCTTCTTCATCCTCTCTCTAAAACTATCACCTCAAGTCACATAAAGCGGAAGCGCGATAGTAGCAAAATTAAGTCACAAATAGTGAGAATGGGAGCGAGAGCGCACGGAGCGTAAGAACGGGAGTGCGCTCAGAGTATGAGAACGTCACCCGATAAGAATGATTGTGTGACTTAGCTCCACCCCTATCTAAAACATAATTCTTATATTTTTGTAATTTTTTAAAATAATAATAATCATATTTGAAGAAAAAAAAATTATTTAAAAAATTTTACTATCATACTATTTTTTATAAATTTTATAAAGGTGAGGATAACTTTGATATTAATATTCTTATTTGAAAAAAAAAAAAAAAAAATTGTAATAACCAACTCACTATTCTATCATTTTATATTTATATTAGCAACCCATTAAATTGCTACCTTTCTAAGAAGTTAACAAGAGGTATGAGAATCAATTCCCACTTGTCTATGAGATTGGGATTTAATAAGGATTGAATCAATGACCCTTTTAGCATAAAACCCCCTATACTATAAAAGTAGCAAATAACCCCCTGAACTTTGCATTTTAGTTGCAGTTTACCCACAATGGCGAGCCTGTCACGTGGCGACTCAAATTTAATTAAATGACTATACCACCCCTATGAAGGTTAAAAGACCAAAACACCTTTATATTACTTGACCTAAAACCCCACCAAACAAGCCTTATCATCCAAAAAAATCCCTTATTATTTCTTCCTCGATCTCGCTCGACTGATCGTTATCTTTATAAGCCTATATATATAGTTCAAAAAATGTAGAGGGTTGTGCGTCCAAGAATTTTCAGAGGAAGCGTCATCGAGAAAAAACCATTGCAGAGACGAATTTCTTTTAGCCTTCGTTGAAGCTCTCACTGAAACCCTCTCAATTAATGGTCTGACCGGAGCTCACCAATTTTTGAGATTGAGCTCTAGTATTGCAATCCGGAACACACCAGAATTTGGTCTGAGATTCGTCAGAATCAATGGAGTAATTAGTTAGGAGCTTTTCCCCATCTTCAATGCAACTCCGATCGAAATGGGTCTTCGTTGGGTCAGTCTGAAGCTCTGAACTCTCACCCCTTGTAGGTAACTGAAGCTCTGTATCTACGCCGATGGTGTATAGGTAAGTTTATTTGATTTGGTTACTGCAACTTTCTAGGTCTCACATGTTTTTCACGAATGAAGATTCTCCGACTATTTGGGTAGCTGAATCACAGTGCTTCTCCGGCCGGTTTGTCACTAACTAAAGTTTTCCGGTTTGAGCGTTGTAGCTGTCGATGGATTTTCTTTTTCTGTACATATATTCATGAAGCTCCACACTTTAATTGAATTTTCAAGGCTCGCAATATATTCATCTCTTCATTGAGATCAACTACTTCAGATGGAACACCATCTTTTGCATTTGCTGGATCTGGTTGCTGACTTGGTTTTTGTTGCATCTGGTTGTTGCCAAACCCATCGAAGTACAAGTAAATGGACAATTGGTATCTTCCTCTTACACACACACACACACACAACAGAGTTGCTTTATGTTTATTGATTTTATATTCCAATTTTTTAGAGACTTTGATTACATTATGGCTCCAAACTTCGTGCGGCTAATTTCAAAAAAGACTCATGAAATTGTGACTTTGATTTCTAACGGATTAATTAGGGACTTTTTTGCTGGTTCAAACGGATAAAGGAGATCAACCATGGATCAATGCAAATAGAATGTAGTCTGTACGATGCATATACATTTACATATATGCATACACAGTGGATTTTGTTGTTGAGGAAGAAGAAGCAATGGTGGTGGTTTGGTTAAGAAAGGAGATAATGGGTTAGCGGTAAGTTGCATGTCCACATTTTAGTGGCTTTTCTTATTAGTCCCATAACATTTAATCAATTTTATATTTACACATCAATGTTAAAACCACACATTTTTTTTTTTATGGGCATAATTTTCTCTCTCCTAAAACTAAGCCAAATTCATAGGTGGAGGGGGTTATTTGTAATTGAGGGGGGTTTGTTGCATTTGGGGTATAGTTGAGGGGGGTTTAATGCACTTTACCTTATATATATACACACACACACATCACATTGCATCTTTGATCATTAATATACATCAATTACTTTTTGATATGTATTTGTTAATCGGTATAATAATCAAAGTGAATGATCTTACTCCTCCCAGGAAAAAAAATTAAGAGAAAAATTTAAAAAAAAAAATCAAAGTATTGAAAAATTATAAAAAAATATTATAATTTTTGTTGTAGATTTTGTACGAATCAAATTCTTATATTTGAGTACCATAAAACTTGATGTGAAAACCAAAAAAAAAAAAAAAAAAAAAAAAAGAAAAAAAAAAGAAAAGAAAAGAAAAAAAGAAGAAGATATACAACCATAAATGAAAAACTAAAAAGATAAAAAGCATTATGAAAAATTGAAAAATAAGGAATGGAAAAGAGACGTATTTTATGAAAACAAACAAGAGTACTAATGATACCTATTTAAGTTTAAATTTTAGAATAATCATGTCATATTTTATTTCTTTCCATTTTAAATCGGGGTATTAAAGTGGTCAATAATATTATTTTTTATTATAAAAATATATTTTAATCTTCTTCTTCATCTTCTCTTTAAAATTATCATCTTAAGTCACATAAAACGGGAATGCGAAAGTGACAAAATTAAATTACAAATAGTGAGAATGGAAGCCAGAGCGTGCGGAGAGTAAGAACGAGAGTGCGCTCTGAATATGATAATGACACCCGATAAGAAGAATTGTGTGACTTAACTCTCACCCCAATCTAAAACATAATTCTTATAATTTTAAAAGGTATCTTTGTAATTTTTTAAAATAATAATAATCATATTTAAAGAGAGAAATAAAAAAAAATTATTTAAATAATTTTACTAACATACTATTTTTTATAAATTTTATAAAGGTGAGGATAGATTTGATTATATCACTTTATATTAGCAAATCATTAAATTGCTACCTTTCTAAGAAGTTAACCAGAGGTATGAGAAATTGAGAATCAATTCCCACTTGTCTATGAGATTGGGATTTAATAAGGATTGAAATTTTATCGACTTGGAATGAATATCCTTCATTATCCTAAATCCCTAATCCATTCAATACATGCCGGCGAAAAACGGGAGAAGGGTGAGTGGCGAATTTTGTGGAATAAAAATGAAATTCCAAGAATGAGATCGGTTTTCTTGATGCCTCTATTGGTAGCCCTAGGAGTAGTTGTTGTTGCAGAGATCGGTTTTCTGGGTCGGCCAAGAACGTCGCTTTCTTTGTTCAACTCCTGAGCCGAGTCGTTCTATTACTCTATTCCAGAGATTTTCAGAAAGGAAACTATCTCAGTTTTAGGAGGTAAGTTCCGGTCTTGGTAATGATTCGAACTGTTTGTTTAAAATGTATATATACATAATATGCCCTAATATATACAAACATAACGAAATTTACTAATTTTAACCTAAACACCTAATTGTAGCATCTAATCGGGCTATACCAAGAATTCTTCTTCTTTAATCCTTTTCTTTTGTAAGGGTCATCTGTAATTATTTTTATTTTTATTATTATTATTCTTTCTGGGCAAAGTAGAAATTATTATAGTTATGAACAATAATGTACATGGCTATAATAAGCAAAGGCATCCCTTTGGATTACTACTTTAGAACAAAAGAACTAAAGAATGGTCAAAACCTCCAATGAAAAGAGAGAGACAAACAGAGTAACAACTTATGCACCATACAGATCAAGTGCATCTTGAACTCCCAAGGAGGACAAATCCAGCACCTCCCACCAAATAAGCTGAATAATCGGTGAAAAAGACCTTGTAACTCTTTAAATCCTAGTATATCTCTCAATACTGTAGAAAATATTCTTCTAGCAACTCTATCTTGCAAACCATTATAGTGGAAAGTAGTACTAAACCATTGAGATAACTGCACTAGGCAAACACAATTAGGTAGCTGCAAATCCAGGAGACATGAGAACAGTTCCAGTAATTTGCATGTTTTGTATACTTTCTTTTAAACAATGCAATCCAGAGGCAGTCTTTTGATTGCAGAAAGTACCAAACCAATCTACATAAAGAGGCATTATTGATATCAGATAACTTTCTCACCCCCATACCACCTTCAACCTTAGGTGAACAAATTGTCTTCCAGTTAAGGGCATGCATTTTCTCATTAGAATCACTTGAACCCCAAAGGAAATCCCTCATCTTCTTCTCCAAAACCTTGATGACAGAAGTTGGCCACTTAGAAACAGAATTGTTTACCCAGTCCTGCATGCAATTTCTCATGTGAGGTGAGACTGCGAATTGAAAGTTCTAATTGTGGTGACAACAAAAAATCATGTATCCATCTATTTTAGCAAAAAGAATGAAAAGAACACCTACCATCCTCAAAACACACCTTCTGTAGACACGGAAATGATGGGCCCTGGGAGGCTTGCATGCAAAACATTTGTCACAATGCCTCGGGCGTAAAACATGCATCCAGAATAGAAATTTATGTTATAATTCCAATGCTAATATTTGATAGATATGTAGCTCTATTTAAGAATTCTCTACTCCACAAACTGCTATTCTTCAATATGTATTATCAGCAATCCAGTAAAATATGGTGCAGGTGGGGTTGAAACAGAAAGAGGGAAAACGGAATTGTTACTTTTACATGTGAAGTATGGAGGGGAGGGTCCATGCATGTAGGCTGGTATGATTCATAATTGAATACTATCATAAAATCTAGGATTAATTGGTTGGATATATACGTGGGTGCTTACCATATAACTTGTGGTTGCTTAAGAGCTTAAATGTTCAGTGTAGGATATGAAATAACTTGAGTTGGACTCTCTCTCTGCACCTTCAATTATTGACCATTTGGGGTTGTTTGGACGTGTGGTCTGTCTTCCATTTTATAATCATCTCTAAGAAGTAACAAAAAGAAGATGTAGTAGTTACCTGACATTGTATGACCAATGACCATGTACCCACTGCATAGCAGAATTTTCTCTTCTTTTAAGAATTATTCTGTAACTATAACTGCTTAAACAGAGAACATTCTCATGTCTTTACTAGTTTTCTCTCTCTAATAAATATGATTTATGCACACAAATATATATAGACTCAGACGATTTATAAACAATTGGTTTTTTTCTTTTTTATAACTGAGGATGTCCCAACTCCCTTCGGATGCAAGACTAATCCCTTCCGATACTTATTACCCTCTTTAACTGTTTTTGACACTCCTATAAATTGAACTCAAACCTTTGGAGGTTCATGTCCTACTTGTCAATTGTGGTTAATTAACTAATTTTGAAGTATCCATGAAGTATTCTTCTTACCTTGTCAGAATTTATATAGGTAACAGTCGGGTGTGGTTCAATTGAGTTAATTTATCTAAATGTCTTCATAAAATCACCAATTGAAATTACATTACTTTTAAATTTGGCGGCATATTACATCAACTTGATATGCCGCATATTTGCAGTGCTTTCACTGGCCTTTATACCAAGGATATGTGCTTTATTTCCCTACTTTGTGGCTTATTTTGTTATACTTTTAACTTCTTTTAATGTAATCACCAATGAAAATCACATTACTTTTTTTTTGGGCTGTATATTACATTAGCTTAAAACGCTGCACATTTTCAGTGCTTTTGCTGGTCTGTATACCAAGGATCTGTGCTTTATTACCCTACTTTGTGGCTTATTTTGTTGTACTTTCACTTCTTTTAATGGAATCTTTGCATGATATGAAATATATTGTATGTTGCTCATTAGTTGTATTGGTAATGTATTTATTTGACTCTTTGAATTGTGTATTCTATATTGTTACACTGCCATATAAACTCTTTTTTTTGTCCTTTTCTTTTTCTGCTATGATTTCCATGCTTTATGCGCAAGGCATGTGAATTTATTTCGGCACTCTCAGTTTTGGTCATCTGTTTATGACTATTGGGTTGTATATAGCTTTTTTCAAATTCTAGCCGTTTGTGACAGTTGGAGTACACAAGGGGCTGTTTGGAAATTCATTTCGGTACTCTCAGTTTTGGTCAGCCTGCATGTTTAGACCAATTTGGAAAGGGCATAACTCGTTTTAAATTCAAATGAGGCCAAATTTATGTCCAAATTGAAGATCTTGAAGTCGATTTTCCAATGGATTGGTGTCACTGGTCTCACATAAAAACTTCAACCACACTGAAAGTTATGGCTGTTAAAGTGTGCCCAAGTCCTGAACATTTATGGTCAGTTTTAGGCTTTCAGCACATTTGTGAGATAGCCATCGGACCTTGTAGTATGGTTTAATCAAGTCTAAGGCCTTTTGTTGAAAGTCTAGGGACCATTAAAATGAAATGCATGAGGTGCATTGGGTCCTAGAATCAACTAAGAAAAGGGTTGAGCATTCAAATGAAGTTACTTAAAAAATAACTTTACATGAAATGCTAATCACTCGCCCAATACTATCCTACCCAATTCTTGATCTTCAATCTTGAGCATTTTGGGTTGATCTTCTTAGGCTTGGATCCACTCCAACTTTGCCATTGATCTTTTGATGTTTGAGCTTTGAGTTCCATGGTGATGTGGCTTCTTGAATTCAAATCTTCATGTAAGTCCTTTGAAGTCCAAGGCCTTTGCTCTTGAATTTGATCTTTTAACTTAAAGTTCCTTGAGCTTGACCCATGTTTGATCTTGAACATTTAATTCCACGGATCTACTTTGTCCTTGAGTTTCATATAATATTATGAAATTCACCACACTCAAGTAGACTATTAAATTCCCACACTAATAGGCTGTTATCATCAAAATCATCAAGTTTCACTTGGCTTGAAACCTTAGGGCCAACAATCTCCCCCTTTTTCATGATGACAATTTATTGATGTGTTTCACAACACAAGGGATAAAAGATATTGCATAAGCAAAGCTCCCTTTTCAATATGCATATATCAATCACATAAGTTAGAGATTTCTCCCCCTGTTAAGTTTAGAATATGTATAAGCTTTAACAATGCTAATGTGAGGCTAACTGCCCCTAACTGTATTTATTAAATAGTTTGATAATTGATACCAAGTCTAATTATGGCCATTGTGCCAAAAATAATAATGACAAATATGGAGTCAACTAAAGACATGACTTATGCATTCATGCAATATATTGCTTTTATGCCTAAGCTATATAAGGTGCATATTACTGCTGCCCCTCCTATTCTATATGAAGTGCACAATATTGCTTCTACTCCTATCAAGCTGGTATTCAATATGCCATATGCGCTCAGTAGTGTAAGCTAACAGTGTGCTAAATGATCTTCAAGTGCTCAGTAGTCTGACCTGGCATGTGCTGAATGACTACAAGCAATGTGACCCAAATGATCCATTTTCTAATTGCAATGAATTAGCAATTAATAACACAAACACATTACATTAAACACATTCCAAATGGAAAACAGATTACTAACACTAATAACAGAAACACATTACATTAAGCACATACCAAATACAAATTACATATTATGTCACAACAACCATGACTGCATATTTTCTTCGTAACACATCCATTATGCAAGTGTATAACACATCAATCCACTATGCAAGCTGCAAGCTACATATTTTTCTCCCCCTTTTGGCATCATCAAAATTTCTCCCCCTTTTGGCATCATCAAAATAAGCAGTGGAGTCCATAAAGGTAAGGAGTGATGATGTGGGAGTGATAGCAAGTAACCAATTGCAGAGCAGAACATGGCATGTATATTAGTAAGACATAACTTAGCACAGAACATAAACATAGCTGCGATAGTGAACATAGGAAAATCACAAAGTATACGTAATGCTAAGATAGTAAAATAAGAAATAATTAACCAATAGGGCAAATAGCAAAATGTTTAACCCAAACTGGCTAATGACAAAACATCATTAGTTAAATATCCATACTAATTGTAAAAATACTTTTTTTTTTCCCCCCCGAATGGGGTGGTTGTATAAAAATAAAGATCGAAAAATATGTACAAAGAGATAAGTAGGGGCATACCCCTACTGAAAACAACAACTACTGGGCGTGGGCAAGAACCATTTCAAGTACAAGAAAGAAATGAAAAGAAAGCATAAAGAGAACAAACATCGGCACTAACATAAAGACACAAAGACTTCAGCTGAGATGCCGATGATGAAAGTGGATTCCATGATGGCATCAATGCCAAGCTGAGAATCATTACTGGCAGTACCATTAAACACCCTGCTGATCCTCTCTTTCCATATGTTCCAAAGAATGGTAACAAAGAAAGACTTGATATTCTTGGATTTAAAAGAATTACCACTAGCAATCTGAGTAACCCAAGCAGAGTCGTATGTAGAATAGAACCTACCCTTCG